TTTTTTTTTTTTTTATATTATATACATTTTTTCTCTCTTTTCTGTCCTCCTCTCTCTTTCTCTGTCATTTATATACATGTAAACTCTTTATATATATTTATATATATGCGTTTGAATTTATTTTTTGGTCTTCTCGTCTATTTATCATTTTTCGATTTGACGATGAAACATTATGTGAAAATTTTCTGGCAGATGTTGCCTATCTCTGTATTTCTTTCCAACTGAAATTACTACAATGAACAAGGTATTAGAAATATGCCAACAGATTGTTAGCAGATTTTGTCAGAATGCTGCAGTAGAGCTACAGCTATCTGTTCACGTGAACTGTGTTTACGTAAAGCTCATGGTCCATTGACAGTGCCTGCTGACATTACCTGACGGCAATTGGTGGCACAAACCGAGCGAGATCTGCACCACCTACGTTCCAGTTTAATGCATTCAAATGCTTACAGAACCTGCTCGGTTTCTGCCATCATATTCTGTCAGCAGATCCTGTTATATTTCTTCTAAGAAGCTTCCGACAAAAATTTCGAACAGAAACTGCACAAGATCAATTTCTATAAATTCAACTATCCAGGACATTGTCTACTTTCAAGTTGGAAATCCCCATTCTTTCTCATCGAACGATTTCATTCGAATACTTTGCAAAAAAATTGAAGAATTAAAACTCCCGTTAGTCGCGTAAATCAGTTTGAAAATCAGAAGTCGCGATGAACAATGGCGTTTGTCGAGAGTGTAGCAACTCCGGATCGCTCGACACGAGAGTTCATCTATTAAAATCAAACGATTCGCGTTCGCAAATTACGAGACATAGTGTGCACGCGTGTCCGAGCTTCTCGACTAGATTCTCCCTCCCTGACGACGACAACAACGACAACGACGACGTTGCTAAACCGTGCAACTGGCGTCCGATGTCGTCGGCACGTATGGACTACCCTGCCGATAGAAGTCGGCCTCGTACTCCTCGACTTTGACCGGATGGTACTCGGTGACGCAGTTCTGCGGTTGATTGAGGGCCGGCGGCGGCGGCGGCGGCGGTGCCGCCTGCTGGACAAAGTTGTCCTGATAGCTGGGCAGCTGGATCGGCTCGGCGAACTGCTGGTAGGAGGTCGCGTTGTCGGCGCTGTGCTTCAGGCACGTCGGGGTGTGCAGGCTCAGCATGTCCACCAGCCTGCGCCTCTGCGTCTCCAGCTCCTGGATCTGCGACTTCAGGTCGTGGTTCTGCGTCTCGAGGATCTCGGACTCCTGCACGAGGATCACCGTCTTCTCGCGCTTCTTCAGCCGGCACTTGGTCGCCGCGATCTTGTTGCGCTCGCGCCGCCGTCGACGCCGCTCCTCGTCCTCCGGCGTCAGCTGCAAAAAGCGCCATCCATGTATCTTTAGAGCAAAAAGAAAGAAACAGAACGTGAGACACGGTGGTTCTCGCGCGCGAGCGCGCCGCCTCAGTCCCGCGACTTCGCGATCCTGACGCCTTCTCTGTCCCTTTTTAGTCTCTTCGACTGGGGGTTCGTGATTGGAAATTCATGGTCTTCTAAGTCCCGTCAGAAAAAACTCTGTCTCAGAGCGTCGTCTACATATCTCGCGTTAATACTTTCTCGGCGCTATGCATTTTCTTTCTTTCTTTCTCTTCTACTCCCTCTTTCTCTCTCTTTGTCTGTCAAACTGACTCTCAATCTCCCTTTTTTATCTTTAGCGAAATTCTCTCATATGCTTCACCAATTTCTCTCATAGGCTTCAAAAGGATTCTTCTTGAAGACCAATAGAAAAATATAACACTCAAAAAAAGAATTCTAGCAAGGTACTATTTCCTACAAATTCATATTCTAAATAAAATTTTTTATCGAAAGTATCCTAATGAAATAGAGTATCAACTGAAAATTCAGTAGATATTATTGTAAGTTTATCTTCTTGAATAAAGAGGAATATGTTCGCTTAAAGCAGCATGTTCTCTTATGTGCGATACGAAAGACGTAATAAGTAAAACTTCTACTGTAAGTAAAAAATGAATTTTCTCTAACTTTAAAAATATTATGCATACAAAAAAATATAGACTGTATATCAAGTAAATATTACTTGTTTCAAGTACTTCACAAATTTATATATCCGCAAATCTATCACAATTTATCATAAAATTAAATTTACTCAAAATACATCCTAAATTCCAGTAAGTTTAATATTTCAATGAAGAATATTAAATTAAAATAAAATATATTCGGTTAATTAAATTAAAATAAATATATATACTTCGCAAATTTATATATCCGCAAATCTATCACAATTCATCATAAAACACTAAATTTACTCAAAATATATCCTAAATTCCAGTAAGTTTAATATTTCAATGAAGAATATTAAATTAAAATAAAATATATTCAGTTAATTAAATTAAAATAAATATATATATTTGTATAATTTACTTTATATATATACAGGGTGTCTGACTCGTTCCGTACCAAAACTAATACATAGCTAGAATAGATCGGGGTGAGTAATGGAATTGATGTCTTTTTTTAAACAACCGGAAAACACGTTGCTAGGAGGCTGGCCCGAGAGGCTAGCCTCTCATGCCCATGCGATAGCGTATAAAACGTTCGTCTCACCGCAGCGCGCGTGCTGATTGACCAGTGGGCTACTGCTCGGTAGAAATCTTTCATCGTTAATATCTCAAAATTTTACGTGGTTCCTTTCTAGGAAAAGACATGTAAGAGATTTAATTGTTGCCGTTTTTCCGCGATGCTAATTGATTCTCTCGCTTAGCTCACTTCATGTGGGCTGCGGCTTGTCGTTTGCGCCTATCAAATTACCAGGCAAATAACTATCATCGCGTTGGTTAGGTCACGAAAAAAAAAATACAGAAGAGATATGTCTCTCCCTGTCTCTCCCTATAATTATTTATTAATTAAAGTATATTTTAATTTAATTTTTATTTTATTTTTATTTTACATTTTTTATTGTTTTTTATTAGCTATATGGTGCGCGCATATATTGTTCTAGTGTCTAAAAAAAGACATCAATTCCATTACTCACACCGACCTATTCTAGCTATTAGGTATACAATTTTGCTTCCGCCGTTTTCCTATAGATAGCTTTAGCGGTAAGTGGTGGTCGAAATAAATAGATCATAGAAGTCATACAATAAACTTGGGCATCTGTCAACATAACCCCATAGAAACCCCATTAGTCGATTTGTGTCTGCATCATAAAGTTATTCTCGATTGAAAATGTCAGTTTACGAGCCAAATTCTCGTCATTTGCGGGAGGTTTTAATTTTCTGCTTCAATATGAAGAAATCTGCGGCTGAGGCTCATCGAATGTTCTCAAATACTTATGGTGAGGCCGCTATTAGTGAAAGAACGTATCGTGAGTGATTTCAACGCTTCAAGAACGATGATTTTGACGTCGAAGACCGACATAGCGGTGGAAGAGAGAAGGTTTTCGAAGATGCAGAATTGGAGGCATTACTTGATCAAGACTCGTGTCAAAATCAAGAAGAATTGGCACGATCATTGGGAGTGACTCAACAAGCCATTTCAAAACGCCTCAAAGCCATGGGAATGATTCAGAAGCAAGGAAATTGGGTGCCGTACGAATTGAAGCCGAGAGATGGTGAACGGCGTTTGTTTGCTTGTGAACAGCTGCTTGAAAGGCAAAGACGGAAGGGATTTCTGCATCGCATTGTGATTGGGGACGAAAAATAGGTTCATTACGATAACTCCAAGCGTAGAAAATCATGGGGAGTTTCCGGCCATGCTTCCACGTCGACGGCCAAACCGAATATTCACGGCACCAAGGTCATGCTCTGTATTTGGTGGGACCAGCTCGGCGTAGTGTATTATGAGCTGTTAAAACCGACTGAAACAATCACAGGCGATCGGTATCGAACGCAATTGATGCGTTTGAGCCGAGCATTGAAAGACAAACGGCCGCAATACAACGAGAAATGTGATAATGTGATTTTGCAGCATGACAATGCTCGACCCGATGTTGCGAAAGTGGTCAAAACATACTTGGAAACGTTGAAATGGGAAGTCCTACCCTACCCGCCGTATTCTCCAGACGTTGCTCCCTCTGACTATCACTTGTTTCGATCAATGGCACACGGCCTGGCTGACCAGCACTTCCGGTCTTATGAAGAAGTAAAAAA